GCGGTGGGGGCGGGGCTGTCTCTGTCTTGGGCAACAGCCTCTCACATCCACTTTCTTTCTGGCTGGTGGCCAACACAACCCGTTTCCTGGAAACAACAGGGCACAGGCAGTTTCCTTTTGTGCCTTTTCCACGCTCACCAAGGCATTCACCGGGCATTCTGATGGGTTCTCTCGTGTCCGACTTGAGTGCACGGGTCTCTGGAAAGACAAGGAAATATCACTAAGTGTTTGGGGCCGCCTTGCCAGGATGGGGCTTGCCCGGCACTAATTTTCCTAAGACTCTGATGAGGTGGCGAAGCAACAGGAACATTAGGAATTACTGGCTGTATTTCAAGGCTCAGGGAGGAGTCTTCTAGGAGCCTATAAAAGTCAGCGATGGATGCTGCTGTAGGTCTGAATTCTGTGCCATGAGGACAAATATTTGAGAATCAGCCCCCCTTCCTCTGACTAGTCACAAAAACAAACGTCCCCTCTGGAGAGGGGTCTCTCACCCCTCCCACAATGTCCAGGCTCCTCCAGAAAACCCAGGAAGAGGGGAGTAGCAGAATCGCCCTCCACTCCCTCTAGGCCCGTGCTTCCCCAGGATCACGTCCCCTCCTGGCTCTGAGTGAACGGTGCCATGGACACGGCCGATTTTACTAAACAGACATACGGCTTTGATACTTTCAGGATTTTGGCATCAACCAGAGGCCAGGCCAGAGGACAGGGGATGAAGTCTGGGAGTCCAGGAGAGCCACCCCGACTCCAATCCTACAGGGTCCCATGGGGTTCCTTCACCTTCTCCACGCCCTTTCCCGCTGTCTTTGCTCACGGCAGCTGGTGCTCAGCAAGAGAGAGAAGATCACATCTACAGATACAAAGAACACCACCAACCAACAGAACACCAGGGCTCTCAGCCCTCCAGACTCAGGCCAAGACACACAGCCCTGCGTGTCTGTGACAAGCTGAGCAGAAACACTGAGGAAAGGGCTCCAGACTGAATCCCAGCATTAATCCCTGTGCCACCAAGAGGCCACGGCTCTGCCTCCCAGGCCCTTCTCTGTCATACTTCTTGTGGAGGGCCATGCTCTCTCACAGCCACAGGTGCCTTTCAGACAGTGTTTTGGTTATTTTCTCTGCCCTGTTTCCTCCGGTTTGATTTACCCACTCGGGAAAGGAAGTGGCTGGACCACATCAGAATTGTGGGCTGTCCAGTACGCTGTGGCCCGAAGGACAGCTGGAAACCATTTCAAAGCCTTTCCCTATTCAGTGCCTCCTTCATGACTCACACAGCCCCAGAACTGATTGTCACTGTCCTCATTGTCTAGATGCAGAAAAAAATTCAGAGAGATTAAGTGCTAACCCAAGGCCACATGGTTACAAAGTGGCAGCGCTGGGGGTTGAGGCCAGGGAGGCAGCAGCACGCAGACATGCTGAGGTCCGTCTCCCCGGCTTTGCTAGTAGGAAAGGTGCATGGTGTCTTCTCTCTGTTTTGTCTGCTGCTCCAGCTCAACAGGCGTTTGTCGTGGGCCAGGAGATGCTGAGAGATGCTGAAGGATGCTGCCTTCTTTCATAGGAGCAGGACAGCTATTTGCTCACTGAGCATTATGAAGTGCCAGGAGCTGTGCCAGGCATGCTGTGTAAATTATCCCACATGAGCCCCAGAAGCATCCTGAGGCTGGGCATGGCTAGATAACTTACCCCAGATCACTCTGCCGGGAGGAGGCAAGGCAGGATGTAAAATATACCTTTATCTAAAGGACAGAAGCAACCATGAGAAAGCAATGGCTTCATCAGCCATTTGCATAATGGCTTCATAACCAAATGGCATTGACTGAATGGCTTCCAGGGCAGAGCCTGGACTACAGTGGCATCCTGAGGACAAGCAGAGTCGGGTGGCAGGTCCTCCAGGTGCCTGTGATGGGAGGAAGTGGCACACACATATTGTTCAGTTGGTCTACGTCAGTTCATTCCCTGAGCACCTGCTGTGCACCAGGCACGGGGCTGAGTGTTGAGGTCGCAAGACCCTCCCAACGCTTGCAGTCTAGTTAGGGGGACAGACCATAAACAAGGAAACAAGTCAACTGATAGGGCAATAACATCAGATCTTGATAAGTGCTAAGAAGATGGTACAACCATCTTGGAAAACAGTTTGGCAATTTCGTAAAAAGTTAAATATACACCTGCCACATGATCCAGCCATTCCACTCCCAGATATTTACCCAAGTAGGTAACCATTCCCAATGAAAGAACGAATGAATGAATCTATTCCGCATGTCAGTTTCTTTGTTGAAGGTACAAAGATAAAACTTGACTGAGACAGACAGGATGGGTGAGGGACATGAAAAATTTAAACTTCACTTCCAAAAGTGTACTCACTGAAAACATGACCCCAAAGCCTTGTGGAGTGTGCTTTGTGGAGTCCATGTGTCCTTCCATAGTCAGGACTGGTCATGGCAGGAACTCTGGCTCCTTTGAGAACACGGATAGTTTCTCTTTCCTTTGTTCTTCTGGCCTCTCTCACCCCTCACCGCACCCCGCGCTGGGTCTGCCCCTCCCCCGTGTCTCTGGCCCCAGCTGGAGGGGATGAAGGCAGGGTCACTGTGTGAGCTGCAGGGACACTCCACACACCCAGCCCTGTGCTTCATTCAGCTCCAAGCTGTCTTCCCCTCCTTCCTCGCTCCATCCTTTGCATCTCAGGCTGCGTTTTCCTGCAATGTAGGCTTGGAGCTGAGTGGCTAAATGTCAGGGTCCTGGAGCCAGACCTCCTGGGTCCCCAGCCCACTTTCAACCCAACTAGTGGTATGCCTTTTGGGGAGCCTCTGAATTTCTCTTCACCTTAATCACCTCACTGTAAATCAAGATAAGATGAGGATCCACATCATGGGGTTTTTGTGAGCATCTATTATGAATGACTTTTCACACTGTCTGCCACAAAATAAGTACTTAATAAATGTCCCTGTAACCCCAGTTGTTTGTTTTGCATTTTCTCCTTACAAGGTAATCACAGTCTTATTACACAACTACAGACTGGAATTAAACACCTCAAGGATCTGGGGTGGATGGGGAACATTTCTTAGAAGGAATTGATAAATAGTAATATGATAATAATGTTATAATATCCACCACTTATGGAGGAATTACTCTTTTCTAGGTACTCTGCCAATAACAATAGTTAACTAATAATAAAAATAGTAGTCAATCCTGATTTAGTGCTTACTGTATACCAGGCACTGTTCTATGAGCTTTTCGTATATTAACAAATCCTAACAACACTTCGAGGAAGATACTATTGCTATCCTCATGGTACAGATGAGAAAACTGAAGCACAGAGAGGGAAAGCGACTTGCCCAAGGTCACCCAGGACGCGGACAGAGCCAGGACTCAGATTCTTGCTGCTCTGGTCTAGAGCTAGTCCTCTCTGCTCTATATCCCGAAAAACCAAACTTGATGTCGCCTCTTGGCCGGTCTCTAGAGCTCACCAGCTCTCAGTGCCAACGGCAGATGTTGCACTGCTCTGTCCCCTGGGCTGGAGGCCATTCAATTAGGCGGGTGGGCCCTGCAACCCAGCAAAAGTCCCCTCACTCACCCAGAAAAATCCTTTCTCTGCTCCTGGAGAGAGCCCATTTGATACGCTGAGCATGTTGATGTGCTCTCAGGACCCAGCAGGCGGTCTGGCTTGTTTCCATGTGGTTTCTCCCCTCCTGGAAGGAAGAACAAGCACTCTGATGGACCCCGAGGGGACCCTCCCCCCAGGTGACTCTAAATGAAAGCTGATGTTCTCCAAATGAACGTTTTCTCTGGTTATGGGTGAAGGATGGGGTGGGGAGGAGGATGGAGGTAGTGGGAATTACAGTTCCTTTTTGGGGGTGGAGGCTGGTCAACAGTGTTTGAGAGACATCCCAGGTGAGACAGCCCTTTCCTTCCCCAATTCCCTCCATTCACAGCCGAGGGGCAGACAGTGCGTTGACAGAAGCTTTTTCTTCTCCAATCTTCCTCCTTCTGGAGACAGTGTGTCCCATAGCTTTTCTGCTCATTCTTCAGCTAGATTTGTTCTAAAGCTTCTGGTATATTAACTCATGTGGGCTCCAACCAGTTGGTCCTTGTGTCTTGATAACGACAATATCTTATGTGTGTTCCCCACTTCCTGAGTGCCATGCGCTGTTCTGGGCACTTCACCTTGACAAAGACTCTCTCCTTGACCCAACCTTAGTAGGCCCCTCTGAGCGCTCTTCTCCACTAGGCCTAAACCTTGGCCTTCTCTGACCCTCCTGTCCTTGCTGCGTATGCATAGCCCAGTTTTAGCAAGAATCTTGCTGAGTCAGCTTAGCGAGAATCCCCCTACTCTTGAGATCTGATCAAGCTCCTCATCCCCCAACTTGGATGTCTAAGCCCTGGGTCTGCCTTTAGCAAGAATCCTGTTAGGTCAGTTTAGCAAGAATTCCCCTTGCCTTGATGTCTCCTCTTAGCAATTGTCCATCCACTGACCCCTCACTCTGCCGCTCGCCTAGAAATCCCCACTTGTGCTTGCTGTCTCCCCGGAGCTGAACTTGACGTCTCTCCCGTCTTGTAATATCCCAATTGCAATAGACTTGAATAAAGTTTTCCTTACGTATTAACAAGTGTCAGAATGATTTTTTCTTTAACAGCGTGAATTAGTTCATTTATCCTCACAAGGATCCTATGAGGTAGGTATTGTAAATGTCTCCACTCGAACACACGGAAGGAGAGAGGCCCTAAGGGATGAGACTCCAGCTGTTGCCGCATCCGCAGTTTGCACCTGGACATTCCCCTCAGATTTCCCGGACACAGCTGGTCCCATCAGTCCACCTGCTGGGATATTAACCTACCAAGATATTGCCCCGTTGCAACATAAATCCTGATGATTCTCCAGGCGCGCCCGGGAACTGCCTGGGCTGGAGAAAAGCGCCAGAAGCCCGACGCCGTCTCCTAGCAACCGGGCCTGGGTCACGTGATCCGCTTCACGCGGTCCGGAGCCAGACTGGGGTTGGAGCTGCCGCGGCGGGCGGGGCGGGGCCGGCAAGTTTCTTTCCCGAGTTCGGAGCCCAGGAGTCCCCGAGGCTGTGGCGCAGGTGCCCTCCGCCTTGGTCGGGATGGAGCTGCCCGCGGTGAACTTGAAGGTGGCGACGGGTGGGGCGGGGCGGGCGCGGGGCGGGTCTCCTGGCGTGTGTTGGGCGTTTGCTCTTTTAAACAAAGATTTTAGAGGTGAGAGGACCGAGGGTTTGGGGAAGAGCGGTGGTAGGGAGATAGGAAATGTACAGACCCCAGGTGAGAAGGAGGCGGGCAGACAGACCATAACAGGGAGAGAGATCCAGGAAAAGGCCAGCTGGGAAGACCGAGAGGGAACTGGAGGCGATAGGGGACCGAGAGGGCCGCGCCTTCCCGGGTCAGACCCCGCCAGCTGGGAGCGCCCGGCCCCTGAGGATCGCTTTGGCCTGTGCGCCCAGAAGTCCCCTGGAGAAAGAGGAAGGCGCTGGGGGTGAGGCGTTGAGGGGGAGGCACCGAGAGCCGGAGGTGGGGCTTGGAGGCGGCCACCTCCCCTCCACGGAGAGAGAGGGGCTAGATCGGTCACCTGAACGCGCAGCACCGCCCCAGGAGCCTCCTTTGTTTGCTGAATCTGGTTAAGAAAATCAGATGTTCCCAGACAGGTGGTTTTCCAAAGTTTATAGATCTCGCGTCCTTATTTCCTAAGAAACACGAGCCCCATGGAAGTTACTTAAAAGCAGAAAACCCCAACTTTGTGCACTTGGGACGGCACCGCGGGGCTTCCTGAGATGTCTTCATTTCCTGAGCCGATTTGTCAGCTGTCAATATGCCAGAGGCTGTTCTGCTTTTTCTCCCCGCCCACCCCCAGCCGGCTGTGCCTCCCTGCTCTGTGTGGACAGAGGGACCGAGGCCTTGAGCTTTGGCCAAGAAGGTGTGAACCTTGGACCACAGCTGCCATTTTGGGTCTCAGTGCAGGCTCTTTCCAGACTATGTCCAGGAATGTCCTTTTACTCAGGAGTGACAAAGCGTTTAGCACCCACGGTGTCAGGTGCGAAAGGAAACTAAGAGAGATGACTACAAAACAATGCATCATCCATATTTGGATGATTAGACACTGTCTGCGCTGTGACTTCACGTGGCAGATTTCCTTAATCATACTGGCTCCAGCAAACCGCCCCGAAACTTCCAGTCAACAGCTGGGTTGGACATTTAGCTGGGAAGAAATTTATGTGAGGGCAACTGAAGTTTGTTATTAATACTGTGTTCCAGGCAGTGTGGGGTTAATGCGACTGCCGTTTCTCTCATTAGAGATTTGCCTAAAATAATTGCTAAGAGGGGATCAGGTGAGGGACAGAGCTGCAGGAATTGAGAGGGCGGAGGGCTCTCACTCGTGGGGCATCTGTGGTGTGCCAGGTTATTTATTTCATGACAACAGCTTTCTGAGAAAGCTGATATTGTCATCTTTTTAGAGATGAGCAGACTTCAGCTCAGATCAAGTCAGTAACTTGCCAAGGTCCCACAGGGATTGAGTGGCAGAGTCAGGATTTGAACCCACCAGGGTCAGACTTCCAAGCCGTGTCCTCTCCTGGCCACCAGTTAGTTGGGCTGACTTCTGCCTCCACAATTTATGTCCAGTGGGAGGGCTTAGTTTGTTTTGAGCCACTTGATGGGCCTTCACGGCCACAGGTGTGAGCTGTGCTGGCTTCCGGTGCCCAGGATAAAATGACTGGTCCTTCCCTTGACTTGGGAAACAAGACTCCATGTCTCCAAGGGTCTTAGCTGCTCCCAGTCAGAGACAAGTAAGTGCTGGGAGGCCCTGAGGGGCTAGGGTTGCCAGGTAACATGCAGGACATCCCGTTGAATTTGAATTGCAGATCAACAAGGAATAATTTTTAAGTATAAGTATATCGCAGGCAATATTTGAGACATACTAACAAATTATTCATTATCTGAAATTCCAAATAAACTGGGTGTTCTGTATTTTTGTTGTTGTTAAATCTGGCCACCCTAGGAGGGCAGCTGTTGCCTCCTTGCTCAGAGGCAGGTGAGTGGAATGTTCTGAGATCAAAGCCCCTCCGGAACTGGGGAAGGGTACCCTGTGGCCCTGGGCTCCCTCCCACTCCCTCATTTCATACATTTCTTGGGCATTGGCTGAATGCCTACTTGTGCCCAGCCCAGCCAGAGTGGGCAGTGGTGCCAAGTGAGAAGAAACAGCTGCTCCAGGCCCTTTGCACAAAGGGCAGTCCCTAACTGAGCCCCATCCATGAGCCAAGTCCTGAGCTGCAGGAATAACACTGTGACAAGCTTTGAAAGGACTAGCCTTGGGTTCATGAGGTCTGGTGAGAAAAGGCCCTTGGGAGGAGGGTCCAGGGGGTAATGGAGCATTAGAATTAAGAACTGGGGACACCAGCTTCATAATCGTAGTGATGAGGATGGCGCATCAGGGCTACCTACCTGGCAGGCACGCTGTCGAGTGTTGCATACCCCTGTGCACCTCCCTGTGCCGTTGGATCCACAGCGACCCTATGAAACAAGCACCAGTGTCCCTACTTTACAGAAGAGCAGGCAGCATTCTGAGAGGTCAGGCTACTTGCCAAAGGTCACACAGCTTCTGCATCATGGAGCCAGGCTCAGATCCGTGTATTTGGCTCCAGTGCCCACGCAGTCAGCCACTGCCTGAATCTGCGTCCCCTCTATGGCATTCCTGACTGGTGTCCCTTAGCCTCTGCCACCCTCGGGGACCTCACTACCTCATGTAGCAGGTCACCGGGTGTTTGCACAGGACCGGTAGGAGTATATTCTGTGTGCTGATCTGTCTGTTAACCTTAGGTCTGTCCACACCTGTGTGGGAAGGCCCCCCCATCCCCCATGGGCCCTCAGGGCTGGACAAAGGGTCTAAGGCCTGGTCCACGTAACCCTTTGGTTTCCCCTCCTCCAGGTTAAACTTCCTCGTTCCCATCCACCCTCCCCTTGCTCTTCCAAATCCTCACAGTGTAGCACAGAGGGCAGAGCACGGGCCTTGGGGCCAGACAGACCTGCGTTCAAGGCCAGGCTTTGCTACTTATTAGCTGTGTGCCCTTGAGCAGGTTTCTTTGCCTCTCTGAGCATCAGTTTTCTCACTGTAAGAAGAGGCTAAAAATAGGCCCTGCCCTCTAGGGTGATAAGAGGAGGATCCAGTGGTCCAGGGGGCGGTGTGGCATTACATTTTTATTAGCGTAAAATCTCTGGCCAGACAGACTGAGTCTGAGATACGCATCTGGGCTCTCTTGTTTATAAGCATTACGATTTGGGCCCATTTACTTAATCTTTCATGTCGTCAGTTTCTTCAGAAGTAAAACAGGATAAATACTCTACCCCATACAGCTGCAAGGATGTGGGCCCAGTGTTCAGGGCAGTGTAGACACGTGGCAGGCAGATCCTCATCAGGGGCAGGAGCTGCTGCTGATGCTGTTACAGGATGCCTGTCCCCTCAAGGACTTGTGGTTATGAAGCGGGTACCCACTGTGACCGTCAGAGGGCAGTCTGTCTGCGGTCAGGCGCCCCTGTGAGACATGTGGGTGATGGATACCGCCTCCATTTCAGAGAAGCCACCGGGGCTCAGACACAGAGGACATGGTCCCCGGGTCTCCTATCCCCCACTCCGGCATCCTACAACCCCCTGCTGCCTTGGCCCATTGGCCCTCCCCTCTCCCGGTCTTCTGACACGTTGGACGCCGACTGGATGCCGAGCACTGTGTGAAGAGTCCAGGAGCTCAGGGCCTTCTTTCCTCTTTCCAAACAGGAAAGGTCGGGCTGCCCAGGCACATCCTCAGATCCTGGTCTCTCCCTCCCCCAAGTAGCTCCGGTCCCTCCCCTGCTCCCAGCTCCTGCCTCCCTGTGGCAGCACCTGAGAATCCCGGGTTTCCCCTTGGTCACCAGAAACCTCCCGCAGAACCAGCAGACAGGTCTGCGCTGAGATGAGGGCTATCGGGAAGGGCAGGGCCGGTTTGGCTGGGCTTCTTGTTGGAGCTTTCCTGGACATTACCCCTTTCCAGGCCAGGTGGGTGTGCCCTCCCATTACAAAGATGCAGACACTGAGGCAGGGGATGCTTGGTCTTCCATGGGTTTCTTTTCCCAGGGGCTTAAGAGAAGCGATCAAATGGTGCTAAGTTTCTAAATATTTATAAAACTAAAGTGATGTCACACAGAGGGGACTGTATGTCTTTTGGGGATCTGCAGTATTTCCAGGTCGTACTCTTTTCTTCCCTAAGAGACGGTGTGGTTTTGGACCTTAGCCAGGTGCTCACTCCAGGTTACAGGCCCTTCTGGCTCCAGGAAAAATCTGTGTCTCACTGGTTGTAGGGAGTCATTTCCCGAGGCTTCCATGCAGATCAGCTGCCCTGCGTCTCAGCCTTTCGTCTTTCTTATAAAGCAGGGCTCTGCAGGATAAGGAGCACCGATGTGTTAAAGGCCTACTGTGTGCCCAGTCCAGACGTAGGACCGGGGCCCTGGGCCATGAAGACTTTCTGAAAGAGAAGCCCACAGTGGGGAGGACTAGGTGTTGATTTTCAGGAGGACGGTGCTGTGAGCTGTCCTCCGGGGCCTTCTTCCTCGGTGTCTTCTCTTAGTCTACAAGCAGACACCGGGACCGCTGTGGCTGACGACGTGGCGTGGCCAGTGGCAGGTCCCTTCCCCTCTGTGGTCAGGGTTTCCTGTTAGAGGGGAGGGTAGTTTGCTCTCAAGATAAAGATCAGAATTCTTCCTCACATATCCCAGGCCCAGCCTACCCTACAGCTTCCTGTCCCTCCTCCACCCTCTTACCTTCCCCTGCAGCCGATACCTTGTCTTGTTTTCAGTTTCCAGAATGTTCCATGCTCCCTTCTGCCGGTGCTATCCCTTCTGCTTGAAATGCTCTTCTCTCCTCTCTATCCTGGTTAACCCCCTGCCCACCACCTTCCTCTTGGCTGAAATGTCACCCCAGCAGAGAAGTCTCGGGACCAGCCCACTCCCCCCTCCCTGTTGTAGCATGGGGTTCCTTTTCCTTGGCTGTAAGTGTCCTTCAGAATTGCCTTCCCTCACTGGATCCCACATTCCTGAGGTGATATCTGATTGGTGGGTGTCTCCGCTGGACACAAGTTCTGGGAGGGGAGCGCAGCGCTGTGTCTGCTCTCTCACCGCTGAATCCCTGGTGGGCGTGAAGCGGGTGCCAGCGATGCCGGCTAAACTGTAAATCTTTAAGAACTTAGCACCATTTGAGCACTTCTCTTGAGCCTCTGGGAAAAGACACCCATGGAAGACTAAGCTTCCTCTGCCTCAGCTTACCCATCTTTGTAATGGGGAGGGCACACCCACCCAGGCTCTGGACCCATGACAGCTGGCTAAGTCGGGGTGAATCCTGGCTCTGCCGCCGACCAGCTGTGCGACCTCGGGCAAGTTACTTACCTCTGAGCCTCAGTTTCCTCAGCCGTAAAATGGGGAAATAGTAGCTCGGAGGATTGTGAGGACTAGATGCGCTCCTGTATGGAGAGTGCTCAGGCTGGAGCCCAATGCAGGGGAATTGCTTGGTGATAAACGCACGTGGAGGTCCCGGAGCCAGCCTCCTGTGAGGCATAGACTCGGCTTCTCAAGGTCCCGGGCCCACGTGGAGCCGGGCGCATCGGTCCTTACGGAATTACGTTCCTGGTCTTCTGTAGCTGGAGCAGGACCCCTTTGGTTCACTCACGCTGGGCACTGGGGGTGAAGGTAGAGTCCCCGCCGTCTGCTCCGGATTTCTTTGGCCCGTGTGCAGAAAACGTCCCCGTTTGTCCCCAGCCCACGTAGCCGCCCTCAGCTGAAGGCCAGTCCTCCAGGGTGAAGCCTGGGGCACTGGCTCTGGAGTCATAATTTAGTTCGAGTTTTGCCCCTTGCCTGCAGAAATCTCAATCAACTTGATTTACCTCTGAGCCTGGTTTTCTCGTCTGTAAAATGGGAATGATAGTAGTATCTGTTCCAGAGGCTGTTGTGAGGCTCAGAGGTGACATGGGCGTTGGACACAGGGCCTGGCACATAGTAGGTGTGCAGTGAAGAGTAACTCTTCTAGAAGTGCTTTCTCTCTCAGCAGAGTTTGTTATTGCAGGTGGCAGCCTCTCCCTCTGTTCTCTCACCAGACAGGAAGCTGGGCCTTTCCCTCCAATCCTTGCTGTGTCCGCCCTTGCCCTCTGGTCCAGGCATACCGCCCCTGCCCCCGGTTCCTGGCTTCCCCCTCCCAGCTTGACTCCTCAGTCCCCTGAGTAAACTCCTTCAAGGGTACCCGTCGGCCACTGGGCCCCGCAGAAACTCCTGACTTGGGGCTCCTGAGCCCCCCATGGTCTCAGTGCCACCCCCAACCTCAGCCCTTGCCACTCCCCCTCCTCCCGGCCTGGAACACTCTGGAACGCCTCGCTCACCCTCCCCTTTGCCTGGCTGATCCCTGCTGATCCTTCAGCACCAGCTCCGGAGTCCCCTCCTCCTTAGAAGGAAGCTAGGCTGACAGCTGCCCTCCCTCCCCGGAGCATCTGGGCCTTCCTTCTTTATTTGCTTTCCACGCAGGGCCCTTCTGATTACCAGGGGTAGAGACCAGGTGCAGTGAAGGGGCTGTTATTTTAAGGGCATATAGGGCAATGAAAAGGGTGGAATACTGCAGAAATCTAGAAAAAAGCCAGAGGGATTTTTTCCTTGACATAAATCGTACCACATTACCTCCCTGCAGAAAAGCCCCGCACGGCGTCCCCCAGGGCGCTTAGGAGGAAGTCCCCTCTGGCCCGCACAGCACCCCAGCCCCAGTGTCCCAAGAAATCAGCCTTGTGTGAGCCCCCTCCCTCACCCCCAGCCATTTCCCATCGAGGCCTCTCTGATTGCAGAGCAGATGCCCGGGGTCCCCACAGGAGCCTCCAGCCTCTGGAAGCAGGAAGGGGCGTGGGTGTCAGCTGCCCCAAGGGAGCGGGGAGGGGTGGCGTGGCAGCGCCCCCTGGCCTGTGCTCTTCCTCCACCTCTGGTTCATCGCTGTCGTGGTGTTTCTCTTCAGTAGACATCTGTGAAGGCCTCTTAGATGCTAGGCAGGGGCCTCCTGGGTTTTCTGGCTCCAAAAGCTTCCCCGCCCTGCCCTCCCCCACCATGGTGGTCACATTCACAGGTCTGTTCTTCTCCTCCCGTTTTGTGCCACAGGCCATCCTCCTGGTTCACTGGCTGCTGACGACCTGGTGAGTGAGTGTCTGGTTCTGTGTCCACCTGTCTCCTGGGTCTTATCCACCTGTCTCATGAGCAGTTCCAAGAGTGAATAGCACCTTCGTCAAGAGCATCGTCACCAAGCTCCCCATGTCCCAGGACTGTCAGAGGGGCAGGCAGTTCCCAGAGGCCTTTGCCGTCCCTGCCTCGTGCGAGTTCCGAGCCCTCATCCCAGGGCAAGCAGCGGGCCCGGGGCGGTGCTGACAGCTCAGAGCATCCTCCAGACACTGCCCAAGTCCCCTTGAGGGGGCACGACTCTGCTTCCTCCCCAAGGCCTTTGCATCTGGGAGGCCTGAGGTGCTGAAGCCAGGGGGCCGGGCTTGCACGCAGTGCCGGCGTCCCCGAGCAGCCACGGGGTGGACACCAGTGGAGCTCTGTGTGTCTGTGATCTTGACTGAGTCACTTGCTCCCTAGTCATTTTCTCGGCTAAAATGAGAGCGTTACTGACCCTCTCGCTTATTTTGTAAGGTCACTGGAGGTGAAGCGTGACTTTAGAGACTAGTAACCACTAACGCTCCCTGAGTGGGTCCTGCTGCCAGCCGCGGGCTGAGCGCCTCTGTGGGTTAGCTCATCGGCTCGGCAAGTAGATGCACATGAGCCCGAGACACAGGGTGAGGTCACTTGCTTGGGGGGACCCTCACTCTTACATCACACTCCCTGCCCAGAGACGGCAGACTCAGGGTTCAGGCCGACCCTGCTCCGGTCCTGGCTCTGCACGTTCCAGCCGGTCACCTTGGGCAAGTGACTCCACCTCTCAGGGCCTTGGTTCCCATCTGTGAAATGGGTGTCGGGGGCATGCCCCTCAGGAGCCGGGAGGGAGGAGCGTGGCAGCGCCCTTACACGCCCCGGCCTGCCGCAGAGGGAGCCGAGGAGCGCGGCGCTGAGTTTCAGTGTCACCATCTGTTCTTTCTGTTGAGCTTCTGGGGAGATTTCTTGGCCAACAAGGTTGGAGACCACTGAGTGCATGCGTGCATGTTGCAGACTTTCAAGTGTGGTGCACGTGTGAACAGTTGTGAATAATGTGAACAGTCATAGTCCTGGGTAATGACCTACAGATTTCGCAGGCCCACGCCCCAAGATTCTGAGTTGGTGAGTCTGGGCCGGGGCCCCAGCACTTGCTTTCTTAAATCTGAAGGATGAGATTACTTATCAAAGCCTGTTGAGCCTGGTTGCTATCCACACTCCACTGCTTTGCTCGTGTTTTCTGTGTGCTACGCTTCAGTGAATGTCATTTAAACTTGTGAAGTGCCCCACTGCGTGCTGGTACAGTCGAGGCCCAGTGGATGTGGTGGGTAAGAGCATGGCCTCTAGAGCCAGACTGCCTAGGTTCAAATCCCAGCTCTGCCACTTAACAGCTCTGTGACCTTGGGCAAGTTACTTGACCTCTCTGTGCTTCAGTTTGCTCCTCTGTAAAATGAGGATAATAATAGTGCCCCCTTCCTAGAGTTGTTAACACAAATGCACATAAATGAGTTAATTTAAGGCACTTAGAACTGTGCTGGATAATAGTAAGGGCTCTGTGTTAACTGTTATTTTTATTAACAAACAAATAAGTAACATATCAGTTAGTGGGAATACCCTAAAAAATAAAATAGGCTGGGCGTTGTGTTAGAAAGTGACAAGGTAGTACTTAAAATTGGGCGGTCAGGGAAGGAGTCTCGGAGTTAACATTTGAGCTAAGACTCAAATGACGAAAGGGGCCGAGTGTTCAGGGCAGAGGGAGCAGCACGGGCAGCGGCCGGGAGGTTAGGGGGCTGTGTCGTGGGCCGGATCCCACAGGGTCCCTTAGGCCGTGGCGAAGAGTCTGCATTTTATTCCAAGCGGGACAGAGAACTGGGCGGAGTTTTAGCAGAGGAGTGACATGGCCTGGTTTCCATGACTGCTTGCTGTACAGAGGATGGCCTGCAGGGGGCAGGAGTGGGAGGAAGGAGAACAGCGGGAGGGGCTGTGCTGATAAATCCTGGCAGGAGAGGATGATGGTTTGGACGTGGAGGGACGTGGCCGTATTCGGGATCCATTGGGAAGCAGAGCCAGTGGGATTGGCTGACATGCAGATGGGGAGGAGAACAAGGGCCTCGCGCCTGGCCCACTGGGGCCTCGTCTCCGCGGGGCCCTGAGACCTGCGGGAGGCGGTGGGCGCCTGTGGGGTGGTCACCTCCTGACGTGACTCAGGTGCCTCTTCCCGCAGGGGCTGCATCGTGTTCTCGGGCCCCTACACCTGGGCCAACTTCACCATCCTGGCCTTGGGCGTGTGGGCCGTTGCTCAGCGGGACTCCATCGACGCCATAAGCATGGTGAGCGGAGGGCGGGAGGGGGAAGCTGCGCGGGGAACTGGCTCAGGGTCATCCGGGCCCCACTCTGTCTTCCCCTCACCCGTCCCAATCTTCCCTCTTCCTTGTGCCCCACTTTCCGTCTCTAAAGCCTGTGAATAAGCCGCCCAGGCGCCAGCCCTCCTGGCTTCACTAGCCTGGCCTGCTTGTCTGCTTGCCTGCCTCCGAGAGCCCGGAGTCTCCACTGTCTTCCCCAAGGAAGGCGTGGGGGCCCCCCCCCAGTGCCCCAGATGGGCCCCCCAGGGGCATGGAGCCGGCACCCAATAACCCGCCTCTGGGGCCCTCCAGTAGGGACAGATGTGGCCGGGAGACCGGTGAAGAGGGAACCCCACTACTTTGTGAGGTCCGAGTGGACGCGGCCCTGCTGCCCTCTCCCATGGGGGGCTTCCGACACCCCCTAAGCCCCGAGGGGAGTGAGCACTCCAGCCCTGGCCTCTCAGGTGACTGAGCAGGGATTTCCTTGGTGCTGGAGACGGTTTGGGTGAACTCCGAGGGACCTTCCATCTCGGAGGTTCTGGAACCAAGTCTTGTGCCCTGTCATGGCCTCAAGGGTAACAGGGGATGAAAGGGGGGTGAGGGTTCTGGTGGAGCCAGCTTGCGGGGTCCAGACCTGGCCCCCACGTCCCTGCTCCCTGTCCTGTAGTCCCCAGTCAGGCCTCTCATCCACAGGGTCCCGCCTCCTTGCTGGATCTGTTTTCCAGCAAACCCTAAGGAGACAGGAGGGCGCAGATGGAGGTTCTGGTCTGGCATATATGGTGGGGGAGCGATGGGGGCATGACAGGGCGTCAGTGTGCTTATGTGCTCCCATGACATGTGGTCACCCCTGGGCCCTGCCGGCCTGTCTTGCAGTTTCTGGGTGGCTTGGTGGCCACCATCTTCCTGGACATCGTCCACATCAGCATCTTCTACCCTCGGAATGGCCTCACGGACACGGAGCGCTTTGGCGCTGGCATGGCCATCCTCAGCCTGCTCCTCAAGCCGTTCTCCTGCTGCCTCATCTACCACATGTACCGGGAGCGCGGGGGTGAGCTCCCACTCCACACCGGTGAGGCCACCACCTCAGCCAGCTCCCCAAATCCCCTCCTGCTGGCCCGGTGCTGGCACTGCCATCCTTGTCTGACCCACAGCCCCTCCCCCAGTGAGCCGACCTCGCCCCATGGGACAAGGGCTCCAACTGCAGGGAGGGATATGACATGGGTGCTGAGCACCAGGCCACAGGGTGCACAAGCTTCCAATCTCTGCTGCAGGAGCCCAGGGGTCCCCCAGCTGTTCCAGCCTGGTGTGACCTTTTCGTGACTTCAAGCTACAGGCAGAGTTGAGGGTGGCGGCCAAGCCCCCATCTCAGCCCGAGCACAGGTGCAGCTGAGGCTGTGATCCAAGGGCAGCTCTGGGGAGTCTGCAGTCTGACGCTGGTTGGCACCTGCAGCTTCACTGGCCCCCTCCCTGGAGCCCCCTCTCCTGCCCCATGGGGTCTGGGTGGCCAAGGGGAGGTGGTGCTACCATGAGCCCTGGGAGCCTCGGCTGAAGACAGCGTTGACCTGCGGGCGCTGTCCCTGCTGACCGGCCCTCTCGCCTTAGCCCGCCCTCGCTGCCCCCCCCCACACACCCTCTCTGAGCTGCGCCCCTTCCCGTGGGAGCCGAGCCTTTTCCCCGCTCTCTGACACACGTTCTCCTGTCTCTCTGAGAGACGTGGAGGAGGCAAGCATGATCCTCTACCCCTCACTCCTGAGAAGAGAGGCCCAGAGTGGCCCAGGCCTGCCCCGGGGTGAGGGCAATCCAGTGACATTCGTTCCATTGGACAGATGAGGAAACTGAGGTCCAGAGCCCGTGGGACTTTTCCAGGATCACAGCACAGATGTGCTGCACAGGGATGGCAGGGGGCGTGGACACTCAGAGCTCTCTGGCCCCAGCTCTCGAGGCTCTGTGACTGTGCCAGGCTCTGGGGCCTTCTGGACACAGTAACACAGCGTCCATGCTGCCTGGGAGAGGCACTGGAGGGGAGCCTGGGGGCCCAGATTCCTGCCCACATGCAGCCCAGGGAAGCACGGGGGCAAAGCAGCTAAGAGCCCTGGCTTTGGGGTCGTGCCCTGGGGTTGAATCCTAGCTTAGGGCTGTGCAGTCTCAGGCAAGTCAGTTCATCTCTTTACCCCTCAGTTTCCTCATCTGTAAACACCTCATCAATAAAATACCTGCTCTGTAGGGTCAGGGGAGGATGGAATGAACAGTACGTGCTGAAGGCTCGGTGCATGGGCCTGCTGCCACCGTCACTGTCCTGGGTGCAGGGCGCCTGGCTCTGGCCTGCTTGGAGGGGGTAGGGTGGATCTTGGTTTGGAGTTGGTGGAATGTCCTGAGTCCTCGCCCCTCATTTTTCCTTCTCCCCATCTCCCTGCCCCTAGGTTTCCTTGGACCTTCACAGGAGCACAGCGCCTATCAGACAATTGACTCGTCAGAGGCGCGCACGGAGCCCTTTGCCAGCCCAGATGGCAGAGGTCACACCTCCCAAGGGTACTGAAGGCAGCCCCGCTGTCCTCGGCCCCAGCCCAGGAGCCTGTTAGATAAACTGCGGGGAGGCCTGGGCTGCATCGCCTTCCTTGTGCCTTGGATGGCGTTCCAGGGGTGTACCTGACCCCGCTTTCTTGGACCTAACCTGGAATGTTCTCTTCTGTTCCCCGTATCGGCCGTTGCCTGACTCAAGTGCCCTGAGAGGCCAGGAGTCCCCGTCTACACCCGTCCCAAGCTCCCCGAAGCCTCCCCTCCCTTCCAGGTACCCCACTGGTCCTAGGCTGGGGACCCTGGTTGCTTTCCTCACCTGCACCCTTAGCTGCTCCATGCAGGCCCCAGCCGAGCCACGCCTGAGCCTGCAGGGCCAGGCCTCTAAGGGCAGTGATGCCCCTGCCCCGGGCCTTCCCCGCAGTTTGTGGAGCCCTCTGCAGAAGCTCTGAGAGCTTCGGGTCATGCTCAGCCCCGGGAGCAGACCAGCATGGGAGTCAACTCCCTGTGCTTCTCACTGTCTGGCCACTTGGTACGTGGAGCCCCTGGGGCTGGAGGCAGGGGGTGTCTGTAGCACCTGAGACCCACCACAGCTTCCAGCTGCCCTTCTCAGAACCAGGGCATTAAAGTTTGGGGAATGTTGTAGCTGGCTGTGTTTGGAGGCCTGTTTGATCTCCCGGCTGGGCTGGGGCCCGGACCTGCCATTCCTAGGAAGATTTCTCCTGTGAATCCCCAGGGCACCTGGGCTTAGCTGCCTGTTCTGTTGTGGCAGGAGGGGGCAGGGGCTCGTGACTAGCTGGGCCTGCCCTGTGCCCGGCTCTGGCCTGGCTGAGGCCCCAGCAGAGGAGGACACTGTTCCGTGTGGCAAATGGGTCTCCATTTCTCTGAATCAGACAACTCGGGTATTGGTTTGAATCCTGCTCTGCTACTGACTGGCATGTGCCCTTGGGCAACTTAACGTCTCTGACCTCAGTGTCTTCTGGAAAAGGGCTGATGCCTGCCAGAGGGTGATGATGCAAATGAAATGTAAAGTGCCTCCCCTGGGGAAGGGCTCTGTAAACGACAGCAAAGTTGTTAGTGGGGTTGCTCCTTGAGCCCGTGATGATGTTGGGTCAGGAGGCATGGGGTGACCTCTTCCTGGTGGGCCCTGTGTCTTGGCCTCAGAGCTGACTGGGACTGACCCCTGCCCAGAAGCTCCAAGGGTCCCATGACCGGGGCCCTACCCCACTTCGACTGGGTGGGCATTGGCCACTGCGCCCCAGGTGTCTGGGCTTTCCCAGGCCATCCTGGCTTGTCCTCGGCACGAAGAGGTCAAGGCCTAGCGCACATCCCCCACCGTGCCACCGTTTCCATCGATCCGAAGAGGCTGAGCACCTCCCACGAGTGGGCAAGGGCTTAGGGATACAGGGGTGAACTCCGACGCCTGCTCTCGGGGAACAGACCTTAAGAGTCCTCCGTTGGGAGACAAGAGCCCTAAAAGCAGGGAACACGGGCCTCTGGGCAGGGACTCGTGCTCTGGGGCCAAGGGATGCTGAGCGGCTGCAGCTGCGGAAAACTGGAGACAGCCTCACTGCGAGAAGCGGACGGACAGATAAGCCGTGGTGCATTCACTCTATGGGATCCTGTGAGCAGTGCAAGTGAATAAACCAGACCTGTTTCTGTTGACGTTGGTCCCCCCAGATGTGAACAAAACAGACTGCAGAATGGCGTGTGCAATATGAGAGCATTAGTGTGTATTTAAAACCTCACAGTGATACGGTATATTATTCTTGGGTGTTGATGTGGTGAAATGTACACGTATGGACTAGAAGGACACATGTCAAGTTCAGGATTGTGGTGGCCGTGGTGGAGGAGGGGTGTGGCCTGAGGGGATGGGACTAGAACTCAAGTTCCTGGCACATGGGAGGCATGCCGTGTACAAGCTGCATCTGTGTCGTGAACACGTCAGATTTCCAGAGGGAATGAAAAGGTGGGCGGTCGGGGGGGGGAGCAGTGGGGGCACAGATAATAGAGCCTGTGCCAAGCAGAGGGGAGAGTGTATTCAGAGACCCCAGTTCCTCATAGCCCCAGACTCCCAGGTTGGACCGGATCTTTGTGGAGGGGATAGAGGAAGCCTCCTGTCTTAAGTGTGTTCCCAGAAGCAGACCCTGAGATGAAGTGTGTGACTTGGTGCAGAGCAAGGGAGCCGGGATTTCTTGGTCATTGGCCAAGGGCTGCTCTGGGGCTGGGGGTGGGTGACTTAAACTTCCAGGCTACTCCGGCTCCCTGACCATGCAGGCAAAGTGGCCCCAGGAGCCCGAGCACCGTCCTGCAAGGAGAGGGCCGTCAGAGGCATACAGAATCGGTGAGGACCACCAGTGTGGCCACCCCCTTTCCACACAGCCGGTCTCATCAGAGAGAGCTTCTAACATTCATTCAACAAGCAATCGAGAGCCTGTGGGAAGTCGGCAGTGTTCTAGATGCTGAAGATGCCAGAGTGGAAAAAGCACCCCCAGTACCCAGAAGATTCCATCTCCATGAGAGGGGAACAGGTCGTAGGAAGGCCTGAGTGGGCACATGGTTGCCTGGCCTGTTTGGGGCAAGGTCAGGAGGCCACGGTGGCTGGAGGTGAGGGGAGGGGAAGGCATGAGGTCGGGAAGTCAGCAGAGCTCGGATGGCGCAGGGTTAACAGGTCATTTTGAGAACTTTGGCCTTTACTGAGTGAGATGGAAGCCCCTGGGGGGCTTTGGGCAGAGTTGGATATGGTCTGGCTCACATTTTAAGAGGACACCAGAGGACAATGTTGGCGGCTTGGACGAGGAGGTAGAGGTGGGGTGGTGACAAGTGGTCTTGTTGAGCAGAACACTGTGCACTGGTTGTCACTCCTGGGGCAGGAACCCAGACACTTCTGCCCATCGCATCTTGGTAGTGGAGGTGCTAAGGAGAAAACAGTGCAGCCGAGTACTGGATGGACGATGCTTTACTCACGCCGAAGAGACAGCAAGACCAGCTTCAGTAGTGGGCGTCCATCCCCATGGCCAGCGGGTGTCCCCCGGCAGCTGATGGTGGCAGTGTGCTTACTCTCCCCCCTCTCATGCCGCAGTGAAGGACACTGTCCCCTCCCCGAGAAGGACAGAGTCAGGGGGGTTGGCCACGTGCCATGTGATACACACTTAAGCAGAACTAAAGGGGAGACATGGGGCCAGAGACAGGGAGAGAGATTCCCACGCAAGGGGACAGACTTGGCACAGGCTGTGTGGGCTCCTTATCTCTTGGTAAGGAAGTGTTCAGGCCCAAGGCCTGTTGTTATGCAGCTAAGTGGGGTGGAAAAGGCATGCAAGAGACCGCCTTTCCAAGTCCAGGAGACTGCCTGTCCCAACAGGGCAGCTCCTGGGTACGTTTTGAAGGCAGAGCAGCAGGATTCACTGATGGACTGGATGTAGGAGAAAGAGGAGTCCAGGATTGCAAGGTTGTGGGACTCAGCAGCTGGAGGCTGGAGCTGCCACTAACAAGGAGGGAGGACAGCAGGAAGGCCAGGTCCAGGGCAAAGCCACGAGCGCAGTCTCAGAGAGGCCACCCTTGAGGCAATGGGGCCACCCTTGAGGCAATGCGGCCACCCTTGAGGCAATGCGGCCACCCTTGAGGCAATGGGGCCACCCTTGAGGCAATGGGGCTTCCAACCAGACTATCACCACCATGTTCTTACAAAAAGGCCAATTTCTGTAGGCAATTGGAAATAGTCTATATTTTAGTCTATAGTGTCTGACATTCTAGAAACTGTCAACCACAGGAAGCAAATTTCTCTTGCCTCTGGTCTCCTGCTGATGAGGGCTGAAGTCACTCGTCTAGTTTGCAAACCTTGTATTTCTTGTTTTCACAAAGCTGAGCTTTTCCCGAGGAGGAAACCAGAGAAATTGCCCCAGGGGAGGTCACTGTCTTCTCCTGTTGGTCAAAACTGGACCAGAGCCCCCTCACCCGGTGGCTAGTGGTTAGGTTTGCACACTCCACTTCAGCAGCCTGGGAGTCACAGCTTTGGATCCTGGGTGCAGACCTACATACCGCTCATGTGCAGCCATGCTGTGGCGGCGTGCCGTATACAAAGTGGGGAGAGACTGGCACAGAGGTCAGCTCAGGGACGATCTTCCTCAAGCAAAAAGAGGAAGATTGGCAACAGATGTTAGCTCAGGGCCAATTTGCCTCACCAAAAAAAAAAAAAAAAACTGGACCAGAGTCCCCTCAGAGTCTCCAAAACAGGCCTAGAAATTCCAACTCACAGCCTCCCTCCAAACCAGCTCTAGAGCCAGCGAGCCTTGGTTCAAATCTGAACCACACCCTGTGACCGGCTGTGTAAGAGACTGGACAGTCTCTTCACCTCACTGTGCTCAGTTTCCTCATCTGAAAAATGGGGATAATAATGGTGCCTGGCTCGGGAATTAGTGGAGTCTGAAAATGTGTAACATAGAGTTTAATAAATATTAGATCTCATTACCTGTGTTACCGTGTGAATTTTTCAGAGGGAGGGAGGGAGACCAGTATAGGGGAGGAAAGGTTCTCCTCAGCCCTCTTAGGGTACCTGTCTGGGTCTGAAATTAAACTGACAAAGATTAACAGGATAAAGCCATACACATTTTATTGAATTTTTACATGTACTTGGGAGCTTCACAGAGAAAGAAGACCTGAAGAAGTAACCAGAACAGGAAGCTTTTATACTTTTTAGAGAAACAGCAAATGTGTGAAGAATTGATAAGACAGAAGGGTTTGGGCTAAATGGTGAAGAAGTGACTAGGAAAGATGAGGGTGAGTTTAACAAGATTGTTCATACAGATTTCTCAGCTGTAATTTCCCCATCTCTGGTGATAAGAATGTCTTCTTTCCTCCTAGGATGGGGAGGGGACCTGTCGCATGGGAGATTTATGACCTGTTTCAGGGAAGAAGGGTGGGAGTGAAGGGGGAGGTCAGAGCGACCTTCCTGCTTCTGCCATTTTCTCAAACTCCTGCTTAAGATAGTCAACAAGCCAGGGCACCATACTTTGGGGCAGCATGTCCTGAACCCCATCACCAGTCTGACCATCCATTCATCTATTCATCTATTATTAATTCTATGAACATTTATTGAGTGCTTCCTACAAGTTTTCAAAAGATTGAAAAAATTGTCAGGAAGTAAAACAGAGGTTTTCCTTCTCGGCAACAGCAGAACTGTGAGGGTCCAGTTCTCCAGGTGGTTGGGGGCTTGTGTGCACACCTGTCAGTCCAGAGACTATCAACAGGGTCAAGAAGTTGTTATAAAACATTGTCATATCTGACGTCTAAACTCAGAATCATAGATTTGAACTTGAAGGGAACTTAGAGCTCCCAGAGAGATCTTGAATTTAGAGCCTGAATGTGACAA